GGTGGCTCTGCGGGCTCCTCGGGGTGGAAGCTCTCCTGCAGCCCCCCGATTGACCCCCCTCCGGATGGCAGCCTGCGGCAAGTGCAGCCGGTATGATGGCCGAGTGCTGTGATGTGCCCAGTGTGGGCACTCAGGGCACTCCAAGTCAGGACTGCTTTGCAAGTGGGGAACCCCTGAAAACTGTCTGTCCGGGGTGGGGGTAGGGTCCCTTTAAGTATAGCCCTCGGCTACCCTGAGGCAGCAGGTCCACGCTCTAAGTCCTCCTCTGGTGCCCTGCTGGCACTGCTTCCGGCCATCCTTAACTTCAGTTCAGGGTCCACTCAGTGTGGACATGCTAGTTAGAATTAGCAAAACGCTAATTCGAACTAGTTTTTAAGTCTAGATGCACTAATTCGAATTAGCTTAGTTAGTTCGAATTAGTGCTGTAGTGTAGACATAGCCAGCCTGATTTTGAAGCCCTACTCTAAAAACCAGTACTCTTGTGAGTAACCCTTCCTTACACAACTACTCCCACTGACTTCAGTGGATGACTAATAAATACTGAATGGGGCCGTTATTTCCCAGCAGAAACTTTATGAACTCTGAAGCTAAATTTTTGCTTCCAAATTTTATCCCGAATAAACAGAAATTGACAGAACTCCACTGCAAATGAGCCTGGCCTGGATTAATTAAATCAAAACAACAGTGAGGCTAATTTCAAATCTTAAAACATCACAAATTTGCAGCTAGTTAATTAAAAAATTTTATAGCCCCTTGAGGCATAATATGTCCTCAAGGCTTCTCTTCCGCACTCTGTTTCACAGCTCATTTTTCAGCTAGCTGCTAACCATGCTGCTCTTCATTACTTGCCTTTGAGGTTCTAAATTTAGTTTCAATCATAAAATCACTAATCAAAAAAGGATGCTAGCACATTTTAAATACAATAAATCATTGTTCTGCTAATGGTTTTCTTTTAAACCAAAATGTGTACATTCATATTTGTATATGTAAAGCAACAGGGGAAAAGAATGTAGGAGATGATGTAAGTTATACTTCCTTTATACTACTTTAGCTCTTGTCTACAAGAGAAAGCATCACAAATGTAAACAAGTTAAGGCTATGTCTATGCTACAGACTTTATAGGAACACAGATGTACTCTTGCAGCTGCACTCATGCTATTAGGTCTTCCTTTTATCCACTCTATTCTGGTGAGAGATTGCTTTCCTGCCAGCATAATTGAACCATCCCCAACAAGCAGTGGTAGCCATAACTGCAGGAGAGAATTTCCCGCTGACATAGCACTGTCCATGCCAGCACTTTTGGCAGAGAAAGCTATGTTGGTCAGGGGTGTGTTTTTTGACAACTCTGACCAGCAAAAGTTTTATCAACAAAAGAAGTAAGTGTGGACAAAGCCTTAGTTTAAGGATATGTACAGACTTCTTTGCACAGGGAAGTTTTATCAGCTATGCCAATATAGTTATTTAATGCATAGTTATATCAGTATAATGCAGACAAACTTATTCTGGTATAAAAATGCTTTTTTAGATTCAGTGTAAACTCCTTCCCAAGAGACGTAAACTAAGCCAAAAAAATATGAATATACCAGAATAAAAGAGGGAAGGCAAAGAGTGTGTATGGTTATAGTGGTATAACATTAGCAATTAAATTAACACTTTCGATTAAACAAAAACACTTCCCCATGATATAAAAATAATTGTATATGCAATGACTTTCACTAATTTAACTGAATGATGTTATAAAATTGATTTAGTTATACCAGTGCAAAGCCCTTTGTAGAAATTCTCAATTTGGGTTAAATTCAGTTTAGTTAAAATCTGAAAGGATCTAATAAAATGAATGTACATAAACCAGTCTCAAATCAACTAGAAAAATCTATACAACATTTTGCACTGGTTTAACTAATCTATGTTAGAAAGACTTTGCTGATACAGCTAGATCGGTATAGCAATAGTGACAGAGCTCCCCTAATGGATACACATCTTATATTGGCCAAAGAGACATGCCAAGATAGCTAAACCAGTTCCGTAAACAACATACATTATACCAGTAAAAGGATTCTCGAAAGTATAGCTGTGATATTTGGATGTGTGGATTTTTTCACTCCCCTAACCACCATGGCTATGCAAACAAAACTTTTTATCATAGACCTGGCCTGTATCAGGGTTTGTCTGCATATGAAGTTATTCCAGATTAGCAATTCCCAAATAACTCTTTCTGGGAATGTCTACAATATGGAGAAGATTGACCCTCCAGAGGTCAATCTTCTAGCATTCGATTTAGGGGGTCTAGTGTAGACCCCCAAGTTGATCGCAAAGGGCAGCCCCCACCAGCATCCTGTATCACCCATTCTGTGAAGAGTAAGGGAAACTGATGGGAGCATGTGCTCCGTTTGGCCTCCTACAGTGTAGGTGCAGTGGTGACCAGGGTTAAGATAAGCTGAATCCAGCAATGCATTTTGTGTAGCTGGATGATGTACCTTAAGCTGACCTGCCTGATTTAGTATAGATCTAGGCCCTGATATACTCCACATTTGGGCATTCTTGTTGTGGAATAAGGCTAGTTTTCTGCAATTTAATTTAATCCACTTTGGAACTGGATTAATGTAAACCAGAACAAGGCTTTTTTAGTCCAGAATAAGAGTGTCCACACATAGAAGTAATCGGGAATAGATGATCTGCACTACCTTATTCCAGAATAATTTTCATGTACAGACAAAATATGAGTCTTGTGTCATCTACTCTAGAGTGTCTTCTGATATGTGTTGCAAACATTTTTTCCTACATATGGTCTGAAGGACTAAAAGGGAGTATAGTAGGCATAGCAGCTAACAAAGGGGATTTAACAGATCTTCTCATACCTGAAAGTTAAGTAACTGTTTTGAAGATGGAAAATTAAAGCTTCACCTTGAGGAAAACGGTTGGTATAAAAAACTCAGTAACAAATTGTGAAAACAATGTTTGTTACTCAAATTTAAAACTACTAAATTATTATACTCTCAAGATATAGGAGAATGCAACATATATAGATTGTGTATGTTAGCTATGACCTTAACATGCCAATGTCTAGAGAAGTACAAATGAAAGAGACAGCCCAAAGAAAGTGAGCAAGAATGCCTCAGGGCCAACCTACCTCACAGAAACTTTGGCAATGATTTTTCTTCAGGTCCCAAGATTCTTTGCAGGGCTCCAGGCACTTGGGAAAATCATGAAAAAGAGAAAAGGGACATGTTAGTAAAATAAAAAGATAACATTCATTGCTGACTTTATGCCTTTTTTGTTTGTTTGACAACATAGGTAGTCAATGATAGGGTTTGTTTAAACTACTTCTCTGAGGTCATAATCTCAGATCAAGGTCATTTTGAACTACTGTTAGATTATAGGAAATGTTTCCAATATTTCTCACTGCAGTAGGCAATATCATTGGTTGTGCATGTGCTATCCCCTTACTTATTCTATTGAACCTGGATATTGTTGACAGTTAACATCATGTTACTGGACTGCTTCATGGAACGTAAGAGGCAATGGTTATTGTCAGAAGTGCCCTTGCAATCTAACCCTTATCTCCTGTGCTTTTACCTAATAAGTAGGCTAGCAATTTGGCTCTGCCAGGCTGTGGGAGGGATGGGAAGAAGGAATACTGCTTCCTGAGGCCATGGAGTAGTGGTAGCAGAGTTTTCACCACTCTTCTTATGCATTGTGAGGGTCATGTTATAGTCGATTAATCAGTCCCAAATCACTACTTTCTCATCTTCAAACACCACTACAGGATAAGCACTGAACATAATACTATGAAATGTCTGATGTGCAGACTGCCAGTATAGAATTTCCAAATGTGATCCAAGCTGCACAGCAAAACCAGAGCCACAGTGTCCAGGACCCTCTATTGCCATGGAGAAAGGAAAAGATTTGTCCTACAGTAAGCCAGGTGCCACTTTCTAAAATCTTTGCTCTTCCTTTTTGTTTATTGAGAAACAGTCCTATTCCAGATTCATCCCTTTTTTCTGGCTCATCTTGGTTTTATGAGAAGCACTCCCATTCCAGGAACATACCATTTTCTGGCACAACCCAAACCCTTTTATTGCTTTAAGTAATAAAATAAATAAGAGGATGCTGTATGCCAAATTTGTGTTCCTAGCTCTTACTGTTTAGTAGGAATTCCTGATCAAACAGAAGACAAACTCTCGAAAAAATATAGTATATATCTAAATATAGTAGCCCATATATGCCATGGCAAAAAATTAAATGCACTGAAACAAGATTTGGCTTTGTTCCTACTAGTGAAAGAAAGCCATGCATTTTGTAGGAAAATCATAAATGTATTAGTCACAGGGGCTAGAAAAATGAAATATAGCTATTTTCCATTTCCTATTTTGGTGTTTTAATTCCAGTGTCTGGCAGTTCACTAACCACAAGATACATTTTAGCACAATTAGACAGCTATTTTTAAAGCTTTCACTAGATTCTGTCAGTTTAATGAACTCCAGAGTTTTCTTGCTTCTGTGCTATACGTACTATACGTCTGAGCCTGATTCAGCTCTCACGCCAATTTTACAACCCTTAATTGCCTTTGATTGAATGAGTCTTGATATACAATGGTGTACAGGTGAAGGCACTATGGGTGAAACCCTTACTCCCTAGGAGCTCTTCCATTGACTTAAATGATCTTATACCATGTCCTAACTCTTGAAGAACCACATAAAGCTTTCTTAAGTAAATAACACCAGGCCTGACTAGATCCCCCAACTAAACACAAAAGGGATCTTCTATATGTGCTTCATATTCATCCCATATGAAGGGAAGGCATTGCTGCCCCTCTACTAAGTCTGAGGACCTGGGGTGATGAGAGAGTTAAAACAGTAAGCTTAGAGACCAGTGTCAGGTGTTCTCATACATGCGTAGGGTTCCCAGGTGTCTGGTATTGAACTGGACAGCCCAGTATTTGGGCCTTCCCTCCAGTAAAAAAATTCAGAAAATACCGGACATTTCACATGTCCAGTATTTTCTGTTTTTCCTGGCTCGGGCGTCTGCTGGAACATGCATAGCTTGGGTGGGTGGGACGGGAGGAGGCTGGAGCGTCCCGGCAGACTTCAAAATGGCTTCCTTAAAAGGGCAATGGCTGTTCTGCTCTTAAAAGGGCAAACTGGGGTGTTTTGTTTTGGTCAGCTACTGTAAACTTTTCCCCTTTTTGTTCAACAATTGTAAACTATTTTTTTTGCTCAACAGAATTTTTTCCCAGTGTGTGTGTGTTTTTTAGGGGGGAGGGTTTGGTATTTTTTTGTTAAACTATCTGGCATCCCTAGACATGAGGATCAGCCCATGAAGTGTTTCTGATGGCCATGACTCCACAGCTTCAATGGAGCTGCATTGTATGGATAGGTGAAGAGATGTCACCAGAGACAAAGTGCAGATTGGCCTGGCATACTGCTGATAACCCTGGATTTAGGATACTCTCTTGCATAGGTAGATATATACCCCCCAGATCCATTGTAAAGGAATGTCTCACTCCCATTAATGAATGTGCATTTAGCCTCATGTTATGAGGTAAGGAATTCTTGATACAACTGAAAAAATTGGAACACGGATATCAAGGTCATATGGCATAGATGAGATTCAAACCTGCTCTCTTGTATATCAGTCCAAGGCAGCTATTAACCACAGGGAGCATCCCTGAGTTCTCATGTGCTATTTATAGGCAAGGCAAATCTTACTCCCTTGATGGCAATGTTAAGACACAAATCTCAGGGAGGAGAACAGTGCAGAGATGTTTCTCTCTGTTTTGATCTGTCCTCTGGATTTTCTCATGGAAGGGAGCAGTATGTCGCGTAGTGGACAACATATGTTAGTTTCTAGGAAGGTATTCTGTTCTGGTTTACATTACATATACTCTTCCAAACTGCATTTTATTTATTATAGTTCAATAAATTAGCACATTCCCTTTCCCTTCCTTGGAGCCACAGCTGTGTTCTGAAAACCGCTACAAAAATAAGCTGTTTATTTCTGTGTGTTTTGCAACAGATTGATCCTGATCCATATTTGTTGCAAGAAGTTCCTAAAATGCGGCTGAAACTATTGCTATTGAAAATCCTCCCTCTCCCCTCCATGACTAGTCCATCCAATCAGGCCAGGCACTCAGCTAATTATTCACCCTTAGAAACAGGCATTTGGCATATGAAAGTGATATGAGAAGCAATCCCTCAATCAATAATGCCTAAGAAGATATTTTAAGATATAAAATATGTCATGTTGAAAATGTAAATGAAATAAACCCATTGCTACTACCAGGGGCAGGCATTATTTGTTTTTTACATCAAACTCTTCAGAAATTACTTGAACAAAGTATGCATGTCTTGAAATTAAAAATCTGGATGACACATTCCAAAGACTTTGCTGAAAGTATCCAAGGGCCTGATCCAAAGTGCACTGATCTTATTTCAGACCAGATTTCATGATGGGGAGAAGAACATACAACTCTTCTGGCCAATAAAAAATATAATCAAACACCTACAACACTCATGGGAAAAATAGTCCATTCTAGGATTACCAGCTTTCCCAATAGACAGACCATACACCATTTCTGTAACAGCTGGCAACCTTAGAAACACTTCCTAGTTGTCCAGATTATTGTAAATGTGTGTCTGTAAAAGGTTTCTGAAAATCCTTCTTGTAGGACAAGGTAGAATTTATTCTAGGCACAGTTTTCTGTTGATTTTGACTCTATTTTACTTAGAAAGGGGTGGGGGTTGGGAGGTAGAATCACCTGCAGCCATACCACTAGTTCTCAGCAGCTAAAAAGTGCAATGCTTGGAGGCCAGACCACCTATATACACTAGGATGCTGCAGGAAGTGGTTTTGGTGATTCAGCCAGTAGATGGCACTGTTCCCTCTGAGTTACTACTGAAGCAGTTTTCCAGCATGATGTTGTGCTGCTGGAGGAAGATATGTTTTTAATGAGAGATAAACTGAGGCCCTAACCACTATAAGAAGAAGGGTGTTAACTCTGATGGTCTTTCCAATAACTGAATTATGCTTATGTAAAAAATCTGCTGTAGTTTAATATGGCCATAGCCATATTTCTTTCCTGTTCTAGTCTGTTTATAGTATTGCTGTACACTGTCAGTAATTGCTATGTTTCAATACAGGACCTGGTTTTAAATGATAACTGAAATGATCCCAGTATCCTTCAAAACCAACCTAAGTATGAATGGGGTCATAATGAATATGTATAATAGGAATAATATTAAGTTATTGGTGCTGTTTGACTTGTACACATTGCTTTGTTTTGCAATACTTTTATTGTGTTTTTAAACTTAATGGTCAGGGACAATATTAGCTGTGGAAGGAATTTCATGCAGAATTTTTAAATATAAATACGTATTTACAAAGATTATGAGATTATCACGTGGCCTGTCATTGTTAGAATATTTAGGGAAGGAATTTTCAAAAGTGCTTAGCATTGGCTTAATTCTGTGTTTTATTAGAGTTGGCTATTAATTTCCTAACTAGTTAATTAATTTCCTAAGTTTTTGGTAGGAAATGGGGATTTGTCAAAAATATTTGACAACAAATATTTGTCAAAAATATTCAAGATGAATCGCTATTTTAAATAGTTTCATCTTTTGATTTGCAATTAATTAATGCTAAAAGGAGTTAAAATATATTTTAAGTGAAAATCAAAATGTTTCAAAATTATCAAATTTGAATTGGCCTGATCTGAATTTTTTCCTTATTATCATTTCATTTTTAAAAAGTCAATTTTTTTTACTTTACTTCTTGTTTTGAGAAAGGGAAAAATTTTGAAATCTCAAAGATTCTCATGGGACAGGAAAATGATTTCTCTCTGAGTTCTAAGTCCTTTGACTTCAGTGAGAATAAAATTAAGCCAACACAGCACTTTTGAAACTCTTACACTTAGTGCAGTGCAAGTTTTTTTCTGGTATTCCGTATATTTTTAAATACTAGTTTATTAGCTACTTTAGGGGGGGAAGCCTTTATTTTTGTATGTATTGTCTAGAGCTTCTTATTGTCCCATAGGCGGTAACTGCAATCATGCCAAGAATGTTGTCAAAAAGTTGTTGTTTAAGCATAACATTATTTTCTACCTTCAGTTGCCATACCCATTTCCATACCTCTAGGAGTATGTCTACACTACAGAGTTTTGTTGGAAAAACAGTCATTTTTCCAACAAAACTTGAG